AGCCAAGGTTGGACGCAACCCTCTTCAACAGCTCCTGGTCTGCCTTAGTGTCATCCTGAGGAACCGGGTGAGGGGGCTCTGTGATGGCCTCGTCCGGTGATGACGAGGAGGTCAGTATCGCGGGTTTCACAGCACCCATTGGTGGTCCAGCAGGCTGTTCCCCTTGGTCCACATGGACTTGCAGGGTCTTATCCCCTGGGGCCTCAAGCACTGGAGGGAGTTGGGTCGTCGAGGCCATAGGCCTGTCCGAGTCTCCCGACACCAAGCGGGCAGTCTGGGAGGGCTGGGTGAACCCCCACGTGTTCCAGGGGTACCACAGGGCCAGCCACTGGACCTGGGGCAGGTTTTAGTACCGACAATGCAGGCGACACCGAGGATCTGGGAGGCTGACCTGCTGATGTGGAGCCTTGCTCCATTCTGGAGCCATATCCGGAGCGATTGCTACCTGGTGACCTGGATCCACTGGAGCAGCAACTACATGCGTGGCGATAATTGCGGTTGCGTTTAGAGGACCACCGGTCTGAGCGGGACATGCACCTCCGTGGGGACCTTGGTGACCGGTGGCACTTGGCGGATCCACGACAGGAGACCAGTGATCCATGCCTCGTGCTTTGAGACCAGTACCGGGACAAGCGGGACCTGGAGGTATTGCAGTCCGGGCACCAGGGGATCTCCCCAAATACGGCGACACCTGTCTTGGCGATCGTTGGCGGGGCCCACAGCTCCGGTCCTCCAATCATTCCCGGGATCTGTAACAGCTTTCCGGTGACACAAAGGGCCAGTCCCGACGTTCCTGCTGGTGAGCGCGTGCCTCTGTGGGTTTGTACCAGGTAACCAGCGAGGTCTGCCTCGAATCCTACTGCCGGTGCCCAAGGTCCAGTGACCGTAGAGGGCTCCGATGCGTCTGCCTCCCTAACTCCGAGGCATGACGGCTTCGAACAGGTGAATGGTATCAGGACGTTCCCCGTGATGGGGAGCGGACTGTTGGGGCAAGGGCAAATAGAAAGGTCCCAAGGTGGGCTTACCCCAAGGTCTGGGCACCGCCGGGGCCGGTGTGGGCGACACTGGGAGCATCAGGATCTCTGGCGCAGCCTGGAGTGCTTCAGGCATCGATGGCACCTGAAGCTGATGAAGGCCCGCCTCTGCGTCCAGGCAAGGAACGGGGTGGACTGCATCGCCCGACATGAGCTGAGGCCCGACTTCCCAACGGGGGAGATGAGCCATCCAGCGCGGGTCTTAGCTCACCCCCATCCCTGTCCTTCCCGTTGCAGGGAGTAGGAGACCATCCCCTACTGGTGTCCTTAGACTTCTTGGCCGGGGCGTGGACAGGGATCGGTGCCAGCTCTTTGACGGCGGGGCACTACGCACCGATGCCGCAGTGCTGGGTGCCGAGTCGGACCTTTGCTCCTGGGCTGGAGTGAGCGCTGACTCCATCAGGAGTACTTTGAGTCTGATCTCTCACTCTTAATCCTAGGTATAAAGGATCTGCAGATTCAACACTTATCACTTATGTGCCCTTCACAGAGGCACCTGAGACAGCTACTATGCGGATTGCTCACAGGCATGGGCAGTTTGCAGCGATGGCAGGGCTTAAAGCCTGGAGACTGGGGCATGTCCCATCCCCCGATAGGACTAACAAAACTCTAACTACTGCTAAGGGCTAACAAACTCAACTACTAACTATGTACACTAACTTTATAAGAACTCTAGTTCGTACGAACAAAACCTAAGCAACGCTAGTAAGAGCGGCGAACGTTCCTTGCACCATCACTGGTGGCAAGAAGGCACTGACGGTGGGAGGAGCCGGCGGCGCCCCTTATACCGCACCAGGCAGGTGCCACTCCAGAGGGCGCCAGAGCTGCTCCCCTATGGATACTGCTGAGGGAAAAACTTCCGGCACCAGTGCATGTGGCGAGCACACACACCTAATGTGGAATGGACATGAGCAAGCACTCAAAGAAAATTATTTATACCGCAGAAAACTAAATACTGTAGAAAACAATTTTATTGAAGTACCGTGATCATTAATAAATTGTTGCCTTGTTCCCTTGCAATCCCAAATAATGCTTCCTCCATATCTGCATTACGGTCTTTACTTAATATGGGGAATAGTGCTAATATGGAGGCCAAATTATATGTTTATTTGAGGCAAATGAAAAAAATATTAAGAGTGACTGCTGTTTTGGGGTTTTCCCATTTCTGGCTGAAATAAAGAAACATAGGAGGAAGGACAGAAAAAGAAATGAAAACAACCCAGCGTCAGCCCAAACTAACAAATGATTAAAAAAATTCAGTTCAGTGAAACTTCCGGTTGAACATTTGGTTCAGTTTATTTAGTCCAGGTTAGTTAACCCATCCCTAATGTTTAAATGTTTATAATCTTCTCATTTGTTAAACTGTTTTAACTCAAATGTTAAGGCTCCACCTCTGGACTCAATCAAAGAAACAAGCGACTTGCTGAGCAGATCAGATCACAGAAGGAAGAAGGCAGCTAACCTAGCTGTAATTCTTGTAGATTTAGAGCGCACTAGATTTACTTTACAAGAGGAGCCAACCCTGGAAGCTGAAGCTAGACAAATTCAGACTGGAAATAAGACATACATTTTTTAACAGTGAGAGTAATTCACCACTGGGACAATTTACCAAGGGTTGTGGTGGATTCTCCATCACTGACCATTTAAAAATCAATAGTGGATGTTTTTTAAAAAGATCTGATCTGGGAATTATTTTGGGGAAGTTCTATGGCCTGCGTTACACAGAGGTCAGACTAGAGGTTAACAATGGTTCCTTCTGGCCTTGGAATTTATGAAAAATAAATGGTTGCCGCAGCTCAGATTTTAAAAGATCTACAAAATGGATCCTTTGCCACAATGACCTACTGTTACATAGAAAAAATAAGCATTTAATCCTCCTGCTTCAGGGCATACAGGATTACTAGATGAGTCAGGAAGAAATTTCCAGCTGATACTGCCTTGAACAATTTGAAAAATAGCTGTCATACCACTTAATTATAAATAGTAAGTGTTCTTGATGCAGTGAGGCAAGATATGCACCTGCAGTGACACAAATGTTCAGAGACATTTCTGTTAGTGGGATTTATGCAGTGTAAATAGTGTTTCCCTGCAATCAAGGAAACAAATTCCACTTCTCGTGACCAAGGATGAGCTTCCATTGATTAAAGCTCTTTCTGCATTGCAAGCTAATGCTCCGACAGTCCATGGAAAGGAGACCAATTAAAGATGCCATGTACACAGACCGAAAGGAGAGCCCTATTATTAATGTTAGGAATAATATATGCATGTTAGAGCTAATCAGAAATTTCCAAATGCGGATTTTTCTATGGAAATGTTCATAGAAATGTTGATTTGAAAAAACCCTACCATTCCCCTGCCACGCTCCCTGTGGTCAGCCAGCCCTATACAGTTAGTCAAAATGTTCCCAATTTCAAGAAAAAATGGGAAATGACAAAATGTTCATGATTTTTTTCTCTCAATTTTTTTGATCAGCCCTAGCACATGTACCTACTCCAGCTAGAGCTTAATGAAAATGTACCTTATACTGCACTGCAAAGCCAGCCTAAAAACTACGCTAGAGAACTATAGCACAAAAAGCTACCTCCATTCTAAGTGTGAGACAGACACTTCCTAATTTTCAGGAGAAAATCCTGCCCTCTGCTGCACTAGTGGTGAAAGAGAGCATTGGTTACCTCCTACTGGTGCAACAGCTGGGCAACAATCGCAATATAGTGTGGCACTCCGCTAAGTGCTACTGCACCTGCCAATGCACCAGAGCCCCAGGAGGGTGTGGTCTCCCATCTTCTGGCATGCCTAGAAGCCAGGTCTCCTAGTATAAATACTGTTTTGTGCAGCATGAGCTATGGGGAAGCTCACATTACTCCTTCTAGGAACAGCAGTAAAGGGGCACCCTGCTATGTTACCCCTCGGCTGTCCTGTGCTGGCTTAACTGCTGCGGCACCTACCACAGGGCCAGCACTGCTCCAGCCTCTCTTCCCCATATTTATTACATGGAGTAGACAAGCAAGGCCAGGACTTTGTCTGGCTGTGAGTACTGCAGATAGTAACTACTAATTATGCAGAGAGACAGGCTTTTCCAATGCTTCCTCATTTGCATTTCTCAGCCATAGGGAGTGGCAAACCAGTTCAGCCAGAATGAGAGAACCTCCAACAGCCAAATCTTTTATTCAAATCAAAGATCAATCTGTCAGGTTCCAGGCAGAGAACAGAAGTGACTCCTTCAGAGCTCTATTTTTGCTGGAAAAGCCAGAAGTTGTGGCAACCTCTGTGCTGTGCCCCCTGGGTGTCCCTGGTTGGAAATGACATGAGCTCTTACACATAGTGCTCTCCGGATGGCATCATCAGCAGAGAAGCTACAGAACCACAGCAATGAGCCTCTAAGACTTCCAATAGAGGTGAGGTGAATGGGTCACCCACTCAATAGAGGGCTAGAGGTACCAAGAGCCTGCATGGAGCCTGGAGTCAGTCTGCCAGGCTGGGGAGACAAAGGGAGTGAGAACCTCAAAAGGTTGGACTATACCTTTAAGTGTTTTGGTCCTTATCTGATACTGATCTCAGACTCGTACGTGAACGTGCACTGAATGTGATGCTAATTCAGGGCTGCACGCATATGAGCTAATAACCGCCACAGATTGTGCCAGACTGATAGTGACCCTCCACATAGCTCTTCTTTGAACAGGTAACCCCATTTGCTGACCAAAAAGAAACCCAACCAAGATTCCTAGTCTTGCTTCCTCCTCTCCAAAAAGGCTGATATAGTCATTCAACAAAAACAAGTTAAAAAAACCCCAGAGTATCAATGCTAAGTGCCCTCCTTGCACCTACTCATGCACAACAAAACTCACTTGGGCAGAAATAGAGCGTTTGACTTCAGGGTCTAACGAACACATTTGATCCCTTTTCCAATCACCAGTACTATTATTTTTGTTAGAACCTGCATTCTGCTTTGCAGAACTTGATAATCACCTGGCAGTCCTCCCACATGTGTCTTCACAGATGACTGCAGGTAGCCCTCCAAGAGAAACAGACTGTCTTGTAGCTGGGAATGGCTTAATTCATTCTGTCCTGCAGTCCCATCCACAGTGAGCGATAACTGCCCCTTGCTGATGAAGATGTTCACAGAGTGTTCCTGATCATCACAAACGTTTATTGCCAGTCTGGACACAACTGTGCTCTCCATGGCCAAGATAATGAACTGGACAGTAAAACAGCGCAATAAGTGAAGGCACAGGCACAAATTGAAACATACACACTTACAATTTTCCTGTTCCATAATGCTCGTAACTGCAGCTGTTTAGAAGGCTTTTTCAGAGCCAGCAAAGAACTGATTATATTATTACTACTGGAAGTCAGATTCTGAGCTCACTTACACTAGATTTATACCTTGCGTAACTCCATTGTCTGGGCCTGATTCTCATTTACACTAACAGCACACCTGAAGAACTCTGTGCAGCTTGAAAGCTTGTCTCTCTCACCCACAGAAGCTGGTCCAACAAAAGACATTACCTCCCCCACCTCGTCTCTCTAATATTCTGGGACCAACACAGCTACGACAGCACTGTAAACATCACCACTCTGGCAGTTCAAAGGAGCCTTAAGGATAGACGACTGGTGCCGCCCCATACTGGGAGGGGGGCGCCAGCTAAAGGGGAGGACACGTGACATCTCCATGTGACTCCTCCCCACCCTGTCCCCAGCCCGGGGCCCCCGCGCTCTTCCTGTCCCCACCCTACATTACAGCAGCCTGCTCCCTGCCCAGGCTCAACTTCTGGAGACAGGAGCCAACTCTGAGCATCCCGGGGAGGGTGGGGGGGCTCCGACCCCCAGAAGCTGAGCCTGGGCAAGGAGCAGCCTGCTGATGTCACAGCCAGGTGCTCTCCCAGGCAGCTGCTGTGCTGCACCAGGCAGCATCCCAGGCAACGTGGCTGGAAGAGGCTCTGGCCCCGCCCCTTCCTCTCCCCGCCCGGGGCCAGCTGCTTGAGGGGCATTTGACCCTTTGTGCCCCTTCCATGAGTCGTCTCACTGCCAGAGTGGTGTTGAGCAGACGAAGGGCTTGTCTTCACTACCGCAGTAAATCGACCTAAGTTACGCTACTCCAGTTACCTGAATAACGTAGCTGGAGTCGACGTAACTTAGGTCGACTTAGCCTGGTGTCTTCACTGCACTGAGTCGACGGGAGACGCTCTCCGGTCGACGTCCCTTACTCTTCTCAGGGAGCTGGAGTACCAGAGTGCGCTCTGCCATCAATTTAGCGGGTCTTCACTAGACCCGCTAAATCGACACCCACTGCATTGATTGCAGCAGCGTCGATCTCCCGGTACTGAAGACAAGCCCTAAGTGTAAATGAGAAGTAGGCTCACTGACTTCAGTGGAGTTACTTCTGAACTGTGACAGCAAAATCTAGCCCTATATTATGAATATAACTATTTATACTGGTTATACTGTACATGGGACTTTGCAGACACTCTGGAGTTAGGCCCGTGTTACTCCCTTGACTACAGTGGAGTTATTATGCACTTACACTATAGAACACAGTCTCTGTACAAAGGAGTTTATAGTATAATTCAGACTAGTATAACAAAATGGGATAGTGGTTCAAATTCAAGAGATTGAGCAGATATTGTCAGTGTGGAGGTATTTGCTACTGAATCAATATCCTTTATAAGGGCCAAATGTTCAAAGGAGTGTCTACCCTCCTTCTAAAACTGTCCCCACAAAAAGCAGAATTCCTGTACTCCGATGACATTCAAACATCTGATTTGCATATAAAATTCTGAACTGGTGAATGTAAATGTATACACAAAATGGCAGGCACAAATTTTGAGATTTTTTGAAAATGGCCCTAGAAATTCCGATGAAAAAAATCAAGGGATCTTTTTGTTTTACACCAGTAGAAGATTAAAGCTTGTACCTGTTGTTTAAGTTTCTTTGTGGAATGATAGTCAATCAGAGCCAATGATAAAGGGACTGAAGCTTCTTCACCAACCAGAGCAAACAGTACCCCGGTATCTGCTGCTGGCCGAATTACAGTGTTTACTTCTACTTCCCAATTCCTTTCAGTTTCATTTCCAGCAGATGGTTGCACTAGAGAGAGAGAGGCATGTCAAATAAACAGAATGATTGACCAAGTGGCAGACAAGACGACTATGGATGGAAGAGCATATGGACAGATAGCTACTTCTCTTTAATCCAGAAAAAATCCAAGTGTTAGTGTATAAAATCAGAAAGGAAAATGGTAACAGCTCTGCCTTGTTACACTCCACAGAAAGGGCCGCTGCCTTTCAGAAAGTCAAAAGTCAAGGTTGAGGGGTTTTTTTTTTAAACCAAGTATAGAGATTCAAGGGCTATCAATCATGGGCGGTGCGTAGCATAGGCTGAGGAAGGATGAGCCTCCCCAAACAGCCTCATGTGGCTCCATCCACGTTCCACCCCAAGGCCCCCTCCTGCTTGCCGCTGGTTGCCCCACCTCAGGCGGACTGCCTCCTCTTCCGGGAAGCCTGCTGAGTGGGGCTAGGGCGGCTAGCCTGTGGCCAGGAATTGGGGTGGCTGGGGCCCCCGGCACTGGAGCTGCGCCACCCAGCACTCTGGGGTTCGGGGCAGAGGGGGCGTGCGCCGCCTGGTGCTCCGGGGCTGCAGGCTCTCCGGTGGCCTGGGGCTGGGGGAAGAGGGGGACAGGGCATCAGACAGAAGGAGCAGGTCAGGCTGGGGGCTAGCCTCCCTGAGCCCATGGTTCACCCACCGCCCATGCTAGCAATCCATCACATTCTCAGAGCTGCTGCAAGATGTCTTGAACTTTACAAAATGATTGAGGGATTGATTTCAAATCTCACAGAGGAAACAGAACACTTTCACACAAACGTCAAAACAAAACTGAAGAAATATAAATAGAACACTTCGAGCACTATCCTTTTACAAGCCAACCAGAGGTTCTGAAAGCCATTTTAGCTTGCCATAAACAGTCTCATGCTGAACTCAGAAGTAGACCCTGTTGATGCCCTTCTAGCTTTTTAGTTTTAAATCTGATATTGGCTAGAAAGAAAGAGGCTTACATGATTTCCATAAGAACATACCATAAGAACGGTCATACTAGGTCAGACCAATTATCCATCTAACCTAGTATCCTGTCTACCCAACAGTGGTCAATGCCAGGTGCTTCAGAGGGAATGAACAGAACAGATAATTATCAAGTGATCCATCCCCTGTCGCTCATTCCCAGCTTCTGGCAAACAGAGACTAAGGATATTTCAGAGCATGGTGTTGCATTCCTGCCCATCCTGGCTAATAGCAATGGATGTACCTATCCTCTATGAACTTGTCTAGTTCTTTTTTAAACCCTGTTATAGTCTTGGCCTTTACAATATCCTCTGGCAAAATATTCCAGAGGTTGACTATGCGTTGTGTGAAAAAATACTTCCTTTTTTGTTTGTTTTAAACTTGCTGCCTATTAATTTCATTTGGTGACCTCTAGTTCTTGTCTTATGAGAAGGAGTAAATAACGCTTCCTTATTTACTTTCTCCAGAACAGTCATGATTTTATAGACCTCTATCATATCCCCCCTTATTCGTCTCTTTTCCAAGCTGGAAAGTCCCAGTCTTATTAATCTCTCCTCATATGGAAGCTGTTCCATACCCCTAATCATTTTTGTTGCCCTTTTCTGTACCTTTTCCAGTTCCAATATATCTTTTTTGAGATGGGCAACCAGATCTGCACGCAGTATTCAAGATGTGGGCTGTCCCTGGCCTGTCTCGACAAGGTCATAGACAATACTGATTTATTACTGCTGTAAATAGGATAAATGGTGTCTTTACATCCTTTTACTGTTACTAAACAAAAAAAAACAAGTATAATTGTTTATAATAAATTAATATAAATATGTAAATTCTGAGAATACAGCTCTTAAGAATGTGGTCTCATTTGCACTTCAGATGCCAGACTCTATTTGGCAGTTCTTGCATCTATGTTGTAAATAGCATGACAGCCACCTAATAAGATATTCTCTAATTTATACTAGCAAAATAGAAAAATCCACATAATGCTGCACAAAAGGTATCAGGAGAGAACTTGTAATCAGGTGTGTCAGCATTTAAAACTTTTACCAATGTCAATCGTCTATTTTAGTTCTTCTGTGGACAGGTATAAATGGAACAATCTGAAACAAAGGCAAAGCCATCCTTCTAATTTCTAAATGATTATGATTAAGAGAGGGTTGGAACTAAACCCAGGCCAATTTCACACAGCCTGTGTTGATGTCCTCGCTATATCATTGATATTGTGACCATGACTGATTTGAATCTAATAAATATCAACTTAAATCACAAGTGAAATTCAGTACAGACATTTCATTTTAGGCAATAGTGAACTTCTATCTAATGCCATGGCTACACTACAGAGTTTACAGCGGTGCAGCTGCACCGATGCTAGTGCAGATGCACTAAGCCGACGGAAGAGAGCTCCCCTGTCGACTGAATTACTCCAGCCTCCGCAAGCCGCAGTAGCTATGTTGGTGGGAGAAGCACTGTTCACATCGGCGCTTAGATCGATGTAACTTATGTCGGAGAAAGGGAGGGACTTATTCAGACCCCTGAGCGACTTTACAGTATAAGTTGTGTATACATAGCTGTGGCGGGGCGACAACTCACCGGCGCGGCGCCTCCTGCTGGCTGTCCTGGGAATTAGCTCTTCCAGCCGGCACGCCCTCTGCAGGCCGGTGTCTCGCATGCCACTGGCCCCCGTGTCCCTCCTGGACCCCGGTGCCCCTCTACATCAGGGTTCTGCCCCCAGCAGTAACCCACAATCTAGGTCTCCCCACCCAGGGGAACCCCCAACCCTCTATCCCCACCTTGCCTCAGTGGCTACTGCCAGTCACCACCTAGCCCCCGCTCACTGGGGCAGACTGCAGTCTATAAACCACCCATCATCGGCAAGGGGGGTTGGACCAGCTGCCTCTGCCTATCTCTGGGCTGCCTCTCTGCAACCCCAGTACCTTTTCTGGCCTTTAGCAAGGCCTGCAGCCTGGGGGTTTTCCAGGCCGGAGCTCCCCAGCTCCTCTGGCCTTTCCCCAGCCCTGCTCCAGTCTAGGTACCCTGCTCAGCTCCCAGCAGCCAGGTCCCTCCCTCTCAAAAGGCTAGAGAGAGTGTCTTCATCCTTCTGGCCCACCACCCTCTTATAAGGGCCAGCTGGGCCCGGATTGCACTGGCTACAGCTGTGGCTGCTTTCCCAATCAGCCCAGCTTTTCTCCTGCCACAGCCGTCTTCCGGGGCTGTTTTAAGCCCTTCAGGGCAGGAGCGGGGTAACCACCCCGCTACAATAGCCTAAGTCATAAATCTAATACACATTACTCTGATTGACAGTTTCTTGTTTAAGAGAAGTCAGAGTTGCAATAGCAGAGGAGAAGGGTACATACACATCAGAGATAAATGCATTATAAAAGCCACACAGAGGGAACCTAATCAGAGTTGCCCATATAATGTTGGCTTTGAGCCAGCATTATTAGATCTTCCTTTTTGTGAATCCCAAATTCAGCTTCTCACTACAGCTGCTAGCTTTCTTAATTGGGAAAGAGCTAATTTCAACTGCTTTATTTTTTTAGTACACATGATGATTTTTCCCTACCCATGTACATCATTTCAGAGCATATGCATGTGTGTCTTTAAAAACAAACAAAGGCTTACCTGACAAGTCAGGAATACATACACTTTTACAACTGTTATTTCTATTCTATCTGAATACATAGGTATGGACAGCACACTATGACAATGATTTAAAAAAAAAAAAGCACTTACTATAATTGAAATTAAATATAGCAAAACCACTGCCAGGATAGAAGGATCCTCGTCCTGCCACTGAGAAGCACTGCATCTTGTCATTCAGCTTTATTGTTTCTTGGATAGTAGTATCTTCGCCATTCAACCAGTTCCATGCCCGCATACAACCATCCAGCCGAGGGTTTATCTTGTAAGACAGAGAAATAATCTTACCTTGAGTTGCTATTCTGTGTTACACAGAGAGAAGACTATGGGCACAGAGGGTTCAACAAGATCAAACTATATAATGGTGTGGGGAAAATAATCTCACCACATTTACCAACATGCAACCACAGCAAAACAGACTCGGGCCCCAATCCTGCAATCACATCCATACAGGCAGACCTCTGTGCCATAGGCGCCGACGCCGTGGGTGCTCCAGGGCTGTTCAGCAGGAGGTGCTGGGAGGAGGAGGCGGAGTGAGGGCGAGGCGGATGTGGAACAGGGATGGAGCCGGGATGGGAAGAGGCTGGGTGGGGGTAGGGCCTTGGGGAAAGGGGTGGAGCAGGTCCTGGGATGGAGTGGGGGGTCGAGCACGGCCAGGGAAATTAGAAAGTCAGTGCCTATGCTCTGTGCCCAAGCAGTCAGTAAAGCTCCACTGGGGAGCAGGGGTATGGCTCATGCAGGGACTAAATTTGCCTTTGTAACTGTGTTATCCACTTTTACATGCTGCACATCATGAGTGCCATTTATTTCTAAGAATCCCGTAGAGATTAGCCATGTATAAATCCACGTGAAACTCCTTACAAACAGAGGGCATTTATATGCAATGGATTATAACACATTTCATCGAAAAAAGCTCATGTCACACAATGTGTTGAACCTAATGAGAAATGACCAAGTGGTATGTACTGCAACCAAAGACAGATGTAAAAGACCTATGGTGAAGAGGAGCTGGGTGCAAACTTACACACACACACACACACACACACACACACACACACACACACACACA